CAAGCGGCTGAAATGAGCTTTCTCCGCAGGGTGGCAGAGCGCTCCCTTAGAGATAGGGTGAGGAGCTCTGTCACACGAGAGGAGCTCGAAGTAGAGCCGCTGCTCCTCCACATCGAGAGGAGTCAGCTGAGGTGGCTTGGGCATTTACATCGCATGCCCCCCGGACGCCTCCCTCAGGAGGTGCTTGGGTGCCGTCCCTCTGGGAAGAGACCTAGGGGAAGACCTAGGACACGCTGGAGCGACTATGTCGCTCGGCTGGCCTGGGAACGCCTTGGGGTCCCCCCAGAAGAGCTGGAGGAAGTGTCGAGGGAGAGGGAAGTCTGGGTGTCCCTGCTCAGACTGTTGCCCCCGCGACCCGGCCCCGGATAAGTGGTTGAAGATGGATGGATGGATGGATGGATGGACATCATTATATGGACATTTTGGAAATAACTGTAATTCTCCAAAGTTTTCTGCTTTATATTGACCAAATGGCAAACAGGCCTATACATTCAAGATTATTGCTTCAATTGATGTATTGTAATAAAAGTCACATGTGGCACTGCAACTTGCATAACAATTATCTAAAAACACCATGTTTGGAAAGGAATTAGCCATAAAACTGAGCAATAAAAATGTTTGACTAGTTTGTCAAAAACCTGTTTTGCATGTGTTCACAAATCAAAGATTGGAAAAAAATGATAGAAGAAAGACTTTGTTCAAACTTGTTTTACTTCTGGAGCTGTACACAGTGCCCAAAGATTAAAATGATGAATAGTTTTGTTATTATTATTTAACACCTCATTTAAAAAAAATACAACTAAAACCTAAAAATGTGAATCTCCTCCAAACTAAGCTAAGCTAGGAACTAGACAGTTTTTACTGTGAGAATAGATGTATTTAACTTGGAATGGGAAACGACAATGACTGAATAAAATCCTTTTGGGCTTCGCAGGACTAATGCCCTCTTTGATTAACCTAGACTTTCTCAACCAACCAGCAGGTATTGGCATGGGCTCTGAAGGTGTTTTCATTTTCAAATGTGTTTGCACCATCCTCTTTTGTCTCATGTATTCCGGGGAGTAAATGCTGGGAGTACAATAGTCGCTGTCTGAGCTCTGACAAAAGCCTTTGTGAATGGGAGTGGGAGTTCAGAGGAGGGAGAGGTAGACAGAAAGAAACACACTTGCACACTCAAACTCACACTCGCGCACACACACACGGCTTAGAGGGAACTGTCTTTAAACTGTACTGTCATTTTTACTTGATCTTTAAATGCTGTATTTTGTTTAAATGGATCATGGAAAATCTCCTGCTTTTTGTCTTACTCTGGCAGGTGCAAAGTGGCACCTGAACAACTTTCATATAAAATAATACTTCAAATAAAAGGTGGGTGACTGTGTTTTGTGTTACAAATCAAAGCAGACTATCATCCAACACATGATGCTCAGTCCCTTTTTGTTCTACGTTTGTCCAGTTTACTCTCTCCAACTGGATTAGCTGAACTACGACGGGCATAAAGTACAGTTTGAGCATCATTTGAGGTGACAGTGTAAACTGACCATTTATCCATCACAACAAGACAGTTTTATTAATTTAACAAAATGTTGTTAATGTAGAGCACCAAAAAATGGGAGGGCTTACTTTCTATTTACCCAACCGTCCTATCGTCATCAGAGCTGATATTGACTGTTAGCTAGAATTGTATTTAAAGAGGCACATTTCCTATTTCCAGATCCAAATCAGAATTTATGACTTGTTCTGTATCTAACAGGGTATCAACAGTGTTTAACAAGTATTAAACAACAAAAACACTGCCCCTTCAAGCAGTGGTTTACTGTCATTGGCATGACATAAGCGGTTACTTCTGGCACATTGCTCCACACTAATATATTTGTACTAAAACACAGTATTGTGGATGTGGCCTAAATTTTACTTCAGGTCAGAGTAGACCAACACCCTGACTAGAGACAGAAAACGCCATAAAAAGCCAACAGATTGAAGGTTGACATGGAGACAGAAGGTATGCAACAGCAAGAGGCTCTAGGCAAGTCAGTGCTCATCCACCGCTGCTGACAGGCAGTGACACAGTAAAATATTTACTACTACAAAATCATGCAATAACGAACACAGAAACTGGTTTTTGGAAAAATCTGGCAAAGTATCAAGAGTTCCAAACTTTACTAAAGGTGCAATATATTTCACATCACATTTCACAGTGATTTAAGTAGAATCAGTGTTAATGGTTTAACACTGATTCCACTTAAATCACTGTGATTAGTGTTAACAAAGCACAGACTCATTTTGGGTATGTGCAGGAGTATGACGCAAATTCAAATATTCAATGGTTTTGATTACTTTAATTACTATTCTTACTTATTTTGTAAGTAGTATTAGGTACCCAACCACCCTTTATTTTGTCTAAATGATAAACTCTTATTTGATCCTAAATACAAAATACATTACTCTGTCCGTACAACCACAGCTAAAGCAGTTGCAGCTATGAACCCCAAACCCTCCCCATGTGCCCAGAGCAGTGAATGGGCTGATGGAGAGGGGAAACGGGGAGAGAGTTACAGGGGGAGACACGTGATGCTCGAAGGCCAGAGGGGGAAACCAGTAAGAGAAAGAATGAAACCCAGTGATGTTTACAGGCTGTGATTTCTAATTGAAGCAAAAAGAAAATGGACACGAACCTGGTCACAAGCAGGTGACTTTCAGTACGACTGTAACAGTCCACGAGTGGTCTGATGTCCCCAAAATAATCTGATCAGACAAACAGTTCACTATTTGTTGGGGTTTTTTTTCCTCAGTCTCACATTTTTCAGATTAAAGAAATCTGAGCAGCACTGATTCCACCATCACTATGCAACTTTCAGCCCAAGTTTGAGCTTTTTTGGCACCAAACCTCATACCTGAACTATGTCTTGCACCAGAGTTGTATCAGTAGAGACTGGAACAAAAAACCTCCTTCCTGTTTCTATGACTTTCTATAAATCCAGCAAGACTTGACCTTGATGACCGGGACATAAAAAAAGACTACGGCCCCTGACATGTCTCAGGACATCTTAAAAATTAACAATAACATTAATAAAACTGGGTTATAATTTTCATTTTGTCAGATCAAGACGATCATCAGAACTTTTGTATTTTAGTGCTATAAAAATGTTAGTTTGTATTTGATCTGTTAAAGCAGTGATGTCTTTACATTTCAGCAATGTATTGGGATAAATTGTCACTTGAGGCAATGATTAAGCCAAATAGTGTACAAAACAGTGTAACAACAGTACTATAGAGTACAAACCACTAATTAGCAATACCCAACCTCCCATGAAGATGACATGTTTTTGTGCGCGTTGTAGAAACTTATTATTGTTATTTCTGAGCTCTAATTCTTGGCTGGATGCTAAGCAAAGTATGAATGAAACTAGGGAGAAAATTGGAAGTTGCATGTCACAGTAATATACTACTGCAGGCAGTATGAGGTTATCAACTGGATTGCAATTTGACAAAAGCCTTCAGTTCATAGGGTTGAAAAATCTAACAACTATAATTATCCCTGGCATCAGTCTGGTATATGGTACCACAACTATGTTGACGGTTACAAACGAGTGCATTCCTTTTCTCCTCTTTGAATCACGTGTACCAAACGTGTACTTGAGTAGTTTTATTTTAATTTCGACTTAGAAAAGCCTCTAATAACATGCATCGTAAAGCACCAGTTTTGGGGAATCAAAGTTCAAAAACAAACTTCCAAACACAGTTTATTCGCAAAAACTATTATTAAGAATCACTGTCTTTATATCACTGCCTTCAAGTTAAAAGTTGATTTTTTTAAAACTTTAGAAACGTATGTAAATGTATCTTAATACCCAGTGAAAACAAAGAGTTCATTGATTCCATGCACAAGTGAAGATAAATGGTTTGTTTGCATTGTCCTATACAGTAATGCGCCCATTGTTATTCAGGAGTATACCAGGAGTTGGTCTCCACTGCAGAGGCAGCCATATTGGATATCCAGGTTTTTACTGCAGCCCACACGAGACAAACGTAACAGACGTGTGTATATATACGTATATATAAAAAACTTGTACCACAAGGATTACAGAAACCTTGGCTAGGGACGCTCAACTGACATCTAAGATCTTTATCATTAGATGGCGCTAAATCATACTCAATTTAGTGACGTGGGTTCGATAAGTGGGTAAAAACAACGCATCGAATAACCAAAGTCAAAAATGTTGTAGTTATATCCTGTATGACAATATACTATAGTTATTATATTTAAATACAATAACATATTCTATTATTTACTTGTTTTTCTTGTCACTTCTATACAATTGTATACAAGGTTTTTAAAGAATTAAAGAAAAATATTTTAATTTGTAAATTGTGAAAAGTGAATTTTTTTTAATATTAAAAACTTTTTAACACTTTTTTTAAAAGTTTTTTTAAAATGTTTTCTCTTTGAATTGTTTGCATGACTACGAGTTTTTATTTTCGGACAGTGTATTGACGAGCTGATATATATGACAAATATTAGTACCAGTATTTAAAATAAATTGCTTTCCTATGGGGAAAAACATTTAAAGGTCATCATTAAAACAAACAATATACCTATGTTTTTTTAGAATCAGCCAAATTATATTTTAGAAACAGGCTTATTGAGGTCATTCTTTTGTAATTATGCACATATAAAACCTATTAAGTTGCACATAAATGTTTACAGTTTACATTTTTTTCATGTTTTTAACGAAGTTTAGAGTGTTCACTCTTGTGGCTTTAAATCAATGATTAAACTCACACGATTCCGTTACCTAGTTAATATATTTTATGGTGAATGTTTTTTTCTACGTTACTATAGACTTCGAACAAGTTGGATTTGTATCTTCTATATTACAATCATTGCACGTGCGATGTCATGGAAATGGAAACTTCGTTACCGAAACGTGCAGCTGCAGAAAAACGCCTGCATTCGCCTGCAAAATCTCCGATGCCAAACTTTTTGCCTGTCACTTTGGCTAACATTTCCCACAACAAAGTTCCGGTGTTAGATTAAACACATTTACAACAGAGACAGTTAAATATCAACCTACCTTGTAAAAACACGAACTCGTCTAGTCTCTCAGGTTATTTTGTCAGATTACCTTGTCAGCTGTCGCTTCTTCCAAACGTACTAAAGGTTTCGAGGCGTCCTGTAACATCCTGTATTGACCATTCAAAATAAAAGCACGACTAATTGCAACTTCCGGAGAATTCAGCGTTGTTTTTTAATTATTACTGTAGTTAGCTAGTTTGACCCTGCATATGTAGAGACACATTTAAAACTGCAGACTTCCATTGTCAATTGAATGATTGCACAAAGGCTGTTATTGCAACGCATCATTTCAAGAAATCGTATTTACTCTGAATCCTCCAAAAATTATAACTTATCAAATGCCACAAATAGATTATTTTACATTACATTCACTGTTAAATAACTAGTTGAAAAAAATACTATTAAAATATACAAAAAAATAAATATGATATACACTTCAAAAAACACAAGAATTTTGAACAGAGCATGACAGAGCTGGAGCCAATCTCAATAGCCAACGGGCGAGGGTCAGATACAGAGTTGACAATTTGGTATTGCACAGCCAGATAGAAAGACGACAACCACTTGTACTTAAATTTAAACCTATGGTGAAAATGTGTCTCCAGTCAATTTATTGGCTAATCTGCAGATTATGAAATATGGGAGGAAAGGGGACAACTCCATAAAGGAAAACCTGGAATCTAACTCATTAACCTATCTAACTATTATCCAATGTGTGGCCCACAACATTTAGTATTTTTCAGATATATCAGTTGACATTTAATTCTGTGAAATATTTTAAAATAGAAAAACAAAAGTTAATTTCAAAGATGCTAGTGTTTAGTTCATTGTCTTCCTACATTTTCCTATAGTGACATTTTACAACTGGTTCTTTTTGGGGGGTTTTGTTTCTTGTTAAGGTTCATATCAGCTTCTACATAGGTCTATGTCTGTGGCTTAACCTGCAAGTTGACGT